CACCGTTCGGTTGTGTCATGGCACGTTTGTGTGACGTCATTAGACTACAACTCTTGTTTCCGTAACAGCTAGCAAGTAAAGAAACCATGATTTTAACTACCCAACGATCTATTAAGTCCCTATTGTTATGCTTGATGACATTACCGGAATTCGTAAAATAGCAGTCCAGGCACGTTCGATACCCTTTATCTTCTTATAGCGTGGGATTCGCAAACAATTGCCTAATTGTACCTACCTATCTTAAGGTAGATGGGATCATGCGCTGTCAGCATCTTTTCTTGTCGTGTACCCGCCGCCAGAAGGTCATTGTCAAACACTGGTTCGGCGGTTACATAAGCAGTCCCCTCGCGCTTTCGGGTAAACCATTGCAAAATGAAAGTGCCGTGTCTGCACTCGATTACCACTGGGTCCTTCGCTGTGACGAGAGCGCCAACCATCTGGTATCTGTATTTAACCGGCGTCTGTTATAGTCATGGTTGCCGCCAGGAATGTTGACGCGGTTGGCTTCAGCATTTATAGATGCGTCGACAATCGATGTACACTTCCGTCAGTTCGGTCATTTCCGTCTGTCAGTGTGTATGTTACCATTGATGCCAGCAACGATCGCGCACAACATGCTGTCCTTTGGCTCACAGCTGCGTTGAAAGCTCGGGAGTGTCGTTAGGTTGTTGCCATCCGGGGCGGCGCCATGAACCTTTTGGAGGGCGGGCCACCCAGCGTCCGGTGGGGCCCATGCAGCTCAGTGGAGACCTCCCCTGGCTGATGGGCCTTTCGCCGCATTATGGCGCTGGCTGTGCCCGGATCACTGCCTGGTAATGCAACGCCTATGTATGCATGTGTAGATTTTCTTGGAACGCCGGCGATGACGAAGTTAATCGTGTTTCATAATGTGCAAAGCTCTCCGTCATTTTTTAGAAGCACACGGGAGCCGACCTTTTGCGGAATGAATGTAGAAACATCATGAAACACTCGTCTTACCCGGATTTCATCACAACACTAGCACTCATATGGTTCAAAGAACCACCCAACCTGTCTGCATCACTGACATCCATATTGCTAGGGCCGTCTCTCACTCATGGCAAGGGCATTTGAACCACTGTTCGAAACTTTGTTCACGGCGTTTAATGCAACATGGCGTAACAAAATCCTTAGTCGCGACAGGGTCTACTCGTGGTCACGAAAGGGGCCGCTCTTAACATGGAGAAAGCCTTCTCTCGCACAGCACCATGACCAGATCCAATACGGCGAACACCACCTGCTGTACTGACATCGACTATCCGAGATGTTTACCGTACCTGCAGGGCTTCATCAGCCATCTCTGTCACACCAGGGCGCCAAACCGTATTTCGGATCCCTATTGCAATAGGTCTTCACATTAGTGAGGCTGACCTGTTCATGACATGAGCCCCCTTAGAAAATCAGAGCGGGCAGCGCGCTGCTCTTAGTTAGAGCTGTCGGAAACGAACAAGCATCTGACGTACAGCAGCTGAACGCATCTGCACGATCAAGCCTTCTGTTGTCATGGGTTGGGCTGCTCTCCCGGTCGTAGGGTGGGCCTGCTGCCGTACCTAGGCCCTTAACATTAGGATCGTTACAGAATACATCATCGAGGCTTCATGTCACTCAAGACAGAGCCTTGGGGTCGGCTGTAGCGCCAATTACTACAGACTACACAGGACCTCCTCTCACACCAGCACCTCCTCTCAACCAATGCACTGCATCGCTAGCCATACCTGAGCTGACAAAGATTCGAGGCGGGCAGAAAGGCTGGTCCGACAGGCTCGCCGGACGACGTCGCTGTCCGCGGAGTGGACGCCGTCGCCACAAGGTCCACAGGACTGCAGAAGCTATTTGTGCTGGCATGGCTCTCTATCTGCATGTCTTCAATCATTATCTTGCCAGCTTTATGCACCCACCAATACACATCGAAATCTATCAGTGTAATGTCATCCCCACAAGCGTCTCAATGGCTCTTGCGATGACATCAATGAACCTTTTTTGTCGCCGTCCTGTCTATCGTGTTAAAATGAGATAGCAATGCACTTCAAAAGTGATACTCAGCGCATCGTAGCTCGGCATATACAGGTTGACAGACTATCCTATATGTTAGAGAGCCGTTATGTTCAATGTTCAAGTGCAGTGCTAAACAGACTAGACACGACAAAAAATATACCGACATCGGCGACCCAGGCATCGCCGCAGTAACGAAGCTGCTTATTCAGTACCGTCAGAACTGACAAGGTTCAACGTTCATCGGCACTGGTGGCGGCCTTTCACCACATTCCGCAAGCTCAGAGGTTCTGGAAACGCTTGACAATGAACTTTGTACTGGTTATTATATATGTGGGATTTGGCCTCGTTATCATAAGGCATCGAATCTACCTATAGACTACTATGATGCCTATAACGGGAGAGCTATTCTCGTTGATCGGGAATGGGTTAAACGATGCAACACTCCACGTGAAGTGGATAATTGCCGCGCAGTAGGTGGCAGGCATAGAGCGAAGCAAGCCAGTGCGGGTCGGGAAGCGGACCACCACACACCCGCGCGGCCAGAGGGCCCAGCAGCAGGAACGTGCCGGCCGAGCTCGACGGCTAATTGCCACATTGGTCATGAGTGATCTTCGCTGTGGTGCGGCTGACCAGCCCGTTGGCTTATTACATGCATTCTGTCATACTGGATCTTCGATATTTACTAACACCTCCGTCGTCCGGACGGCCGGCACTGAAAGCTGCTTTCCCAGGTGGTTACTTGTTATTAAAGCAAAATGCTAGCTATTTGATGCGACACAGCATGGAACGCATTTGCGACCTGTCTAGCCAGCTTTATACACGCCGTCGAACCCTCGCAGGCTCCTTTTCCTGCACGGCAGACGTGACGCGGCAGGCAAGCCAGCTATGGACGCATCTATGCTTGCGTGCTCGTGCATTTAAATGTCTGTTTAAATGCATCAGAAAACCGTGAGGGATCATGAGGTCCGAAGAAAATCGCATTAGCCAGATGGCATCCCGTAAGCACGCTTTCTCTCGCCCCCTTTATCACCGCTATACGAACTCCACTTATATCCTTGCGGGGAATTTCTCATTAATCGGAGGACAGTTCTAGGAAGGAGCTAGTTTTACCCCAATGTAAATGAAATTTCTTCTTTCATAAAAGCATCAATGGGCGCAATACACCAGCCCATGCAAAGACACCCATACGTTGCATCAGTCATGTATACGTTGCATCATGCGACCTGCGATAATGCGTCATAGGGCCTAACACCTACATATCATGCTGACCCGTCGCAGTTTGTAGCCTGCTCATGCTGACCCGTCGCAGTTTGTAGCCTGCTCACCACCATGCTGTTGGATCGCCCGGTCCACCCTCGAGCGCTGACACCCGACAGACTGCGCCGCTGCTGCCGTCACCGCCAGGCGGCGCGCGCGCGCACCTCCTGCTCACACCAGGCAATTGGAACCTACCAGATCACGCGCGTCGGGAAGCGTGCGCTCAGATCAAAGCAAGGGCGCACAGCCTATCTGTATCTGCGGTGTCGTGTTCGAATGTGTCTGGCAGCTGTGGCTTCGGGGGTCCTCTGTGAGACCACTCGACGCTCGCTTCCGGATAGGCGCCGGTGGCGACATTATGTTCTCTCCCCTCTTCTTTCATCCGTGTTAATCTGGTCTCCACCCACCATCTTTATGTGTCACTCTCAAATATCCTCAGATAAGTCAGAAGTACTGGGCACTGGAATCACCCAGCGTCGCATTATTTATATTTAGGAGCTGACAGTCAATCGAGTTCAAATTGGACGAGCATGCAGCGCACACAGCACCACTTGGCCTTGGAATTAACGGTATTATTGAAGGGAGGGGGGAATGATAAATTCGATGGAGGAATTTCGGTTGACGGATAATGGTTTGGTGATTGATGGATGTCCTAACGCTCCTTCGCTTCTTCAGCCTGCTCTGACTGCAAACGGCAGAGAAAACTGTTGTCTTCAAACTGCTGAAACATAAATGCACCCCCACTCCGTTTGGTTGCAACCGTTGTCAACATTGACTGACATGACAGCCAGTAATACGGCGCCGAAACACGGCTCTGTGGCGCCTTGGCTTTCGGAGATGGATGGCAGGAATTTATTGACGCGTGGTAAGACCAAAAGCCCGCAGACACCATCATAAATCTGCAGAAAAGATTATTGCGGCCGCGCGGCAGCTTGCGTTTGTTATTTATATGCTAAGGGGTCGTGTGGTGTTCTGACTACGTTTGTGTTTTTTTGTGGAGATATATGTAAGAAACATGCCTGCAGTGAAAGCGGAGAATTTCGTCAAGAATGGGGACCAGTCGCGGCCCCGCCACGGCGAGAAAGGAAACATAAACTTAGCCTCACATTCCTCTTTCATCTCAGCTCTGATAGCTGAGGTCAAACATGATAACATGCAATTAATCGTGCAACGTGTCTGGCGTCTGTCGTAACGGTTATGTATGCGGGCGTTGATATAGGCGTATTTGTGAAAACTTTGTAACCGAAGGCAGTTGATTTCGTATACCCTCGTCGACAATCGCGGATCTCAGTGGCTTCACAGAGGCTCTGTGCGCTATTGCAGTCATGTCTTGGTGTGCCTGGTACGCCGTCTCCAGTATCCCAGCCTCTGCACTGCGGGGAAGTGTCTCCCAAGCTCAGGAGAGCCGCGCCATTTCGTCGGAAGCTGCGGCGGATCACACACGATTAGACGTAATGGCTGCCGTGCCCCGGCGGCACAGGGCCGCGGGCGGTCCCCGGCGGCTTCTTCGGCCACGTCCAGCACTCCCCGCTCAACACTGCACGCCTTGTCTCCCGGCGCACCGCCCCGTGTCTCGCACGGCGTCCCAGGGAACGTGTTCAAGGTGACCTGTCGCCTGCGATGCCTTCGTAGAGGAGGCACCTACGACCTGACGCTGTCGTCCGGGAGGCGGCGGCTAACACGCGCTCGTCTGAAGGCGACCTGTGACCTGTGCCACCCCGCGTCCGCAGGGTGACGCTGAACACCAGCCGCGTGCTGGTGAAGCAGAACGGCAAGAGCTCCGAGGTGCAGGAGGTGGTGTTCCACCAGGACGGCCTGCTGCCCGGGTCCGCCGCCAAGCCGCACAACGTCATCTCAGACTACTCGCCCCTGTGAGTAGCTGTGCTCTTCCCCATCCCGAATTCAGCCACGAGATTACTTCCCGGGATGTTTCGTTTCAGTGTTTCGCAAAACTTCACGGCGGTCCACAGACATGCTCTGATAACGCCGAGTTCATAATAGCAAAGCTAGCAAGAAATGACGTTGATATATGCGGAGAATGTCAAAGTAGCAAAGGCGAAAAACTAAGACTTTTCGGGCGAGGTAAAAGCCGCGGAGAATTACAAGTGTAAATATTTAACATGACTTTGTGTGTAATTATTTAAGATGACTTTTGTGTGTAATTATTTAACATGACTTTTGACATAACTTTTAACATGACTTTTGAATGTTTGTGTAATTATTTAGCATGACTTAACATGATTTTAGCACGCAAACTGTGCAAGAGATATTAGATTCGTCACACGTCGCGTTGGAGCACTTTAATCCACGCTTCGGTGCTGACCCCTCGTTGCAACGGGATTTTTAGCCTTCACCCAAGCCGTTGGAAGGTTGTTTCGTTGGTGGCGTGCCACGTCGTCGCCTTGGTGCCTCTATTTTTAGTAAATGATGTGATCAGACTGACAACTGCTGCTCACTGAGGTAACTGTTCGAACCACATCAAATGCCACGTCTCGTGTTGCAAAATTCACGATTGTCCGATCACATTTATCGGGCGGCTTCCGAGCATTGACCAAGTCTTCCCAGGCGGCCGTTCGAGCTGACTGGACCCTCTGTGTAGAACGTTATCTCACAGCGAATGATCTGGAATAAGATTTTCCCGACATCAACTTGCTACACGGAAGCCGTCATAACCAGCGGAAAACATTTTCGACCAAATGGTTTTTTCATCGTGAGCCGGCCTTTGCTTGAAACAAAATAGTGCGATCTGGTTGTATCAGAGTGCTGCCATTATGGGACTTGAGTTTAACCCGAATCAAAACTGGGTCTCATATCGCTTTACAACTCATGGTCACGTGATTAAACTTACTAGAACTGACGTCTTACATGAAAAGCATCAAAAAAAGCATCACGGAAGCAGTGTTCAGTTTTCACCCAAGGCGTCGCACGCTTGTTTTTGCGATTGATTGTGGCACATCCTCCAGTTGTTAGTAGAATACCGTGTTGGGGTGGGTGACTGTTGCGATTATGAGACGGATGAATGAGCCAAACTAAATTCTCCTATATTCTGTGTAGTTCCACAACTCGTGATTGTCTGATGGGATTTGCTCACTCTGTCGTTATGTGGAGGGCGCCATTCACGCGTGCGTCTGATCACATTGTAAATACGAGCGTACAACTGCCATACAGTTTCCATCTATGGTTTTGAAAACCATCAAACAGCGTACTGTGCGGCAACGAACATAAAATCACGAACTGGAGCGCATCGGGCCGGGTCGACGAAGCTCAATTTGGAAAACAGAAGCTCGAATGACTGCGACCATGATCAGCAACTACGCAATTACGCACATGTTGTGGGATGGGACCTGGGGTGATTATGTGTGTCACAGGTACACGTTATTTTCACACCACGGTCATCCCTGTGGCAGAGTGTCGGCTTCCGGGATGTGTTCGGGGCTTCACTTCAGCCCCGTCTCGTATGCATCGCCACACGTACACGGAGGCAGAGCAGCGGATGTGGACGAGGCAGCCGTCCGAGCGGAGGAGAGAGGCGGCGAGTGGCAGGGAGAGCAGCTCTCGCGTGACCGCGGTCTCGTCGGGGTAGGCGCTCCTGACAGGCCTGTCACGCCCCCACCCCCAGCCGGCGGCGGGAGCGCGCGTCACGTCAGCACCGTGAGCGCGTGTGGGGCGGCTGGCTTGGCCGCGCTGGCGCGAGTCCTCCTCCGTCGGCCGGCGGTCGGAGTCCGGAGCACCACCGGCTGGGAGTCCGCTCATTAGGCGTGTGTGTGAGGCGGCTGGCCTAGCTGGGCTGGCGCCAGTCCTCCTCCGTTGACCGGCGGTCGGAGTCCGGAGCACCACCGGCTGGGAGTCCGCTCATTAGGCCAGGCGTCGTTAGTGCCCGTCGGTTCAGCGCGCCGACGGCGGCGGCTCCAGCCGAACGCCTCGAGCCGAGATGGGCAGACGGCGCCTCCGTTGCCGGGCGGCCGGCTCAGATAGCGCGCTGGCGCTGGTCCTGGAGCGGTTTCCGACGTCAGTCCTCGGCCGCGCCCTGCAGCGCCACCTGCTGGGTGCCCCGGTCAACGTCTGGCCGCGGTCCGTTGCTTTGTGGACGCGCGTCGGAATTCATGTGCGTGAACTATTGGCATTACCTGACATCCCTTTGTCCTATAACGTAGCGATGAGCCACGCCAGCCACAAGTACAAGCATCGTGGATCACCCAAACATACGTCTGTGTCTACGTCTATGTGCGCATGGGCGCGCAGAACAGGGGAGCGCGGCCGGCGGCACGGCCACCCAGAGAGGAAGCGGCGGCTTTACGAGCGCCCCACTCGCCATAAACCGATCCGGACCAGCCCGGAACCAATGGAAACGTCCCGACTGAAACCAGATACCGACCAGCTGAGGTTGTTTGTCCCTCCTCAAAATGGAACTGCCAGTCATCCCTTCGTTAGGGGAAATTGCGCTGTAGCAGCCTGCAAAAGGCGGGCTATCAGTCTGCCCGCCGCCGGAGCACGGGCGACCAGCCGGGCTCGTCTGTGGCCATCCTGCTGGCTGCTTCCGCTTGTCCGTGCTGGGATCCTTTCTCCGCAGAGCAAATGTCGGCGTATTACACGTGTCATGGAATGCCGCCTGCCACCCCCGTATGCATTTCACACGACTGGGAAGCAATCAACCATGCAAACACACAGAGGTGAATGGTGGAGTCGGTTAGACTGTTGGGCGTGGTGCGGATTGGGAGAGGCGAGGAGGCCTGAGGAGAGACCAATAGCAGCCGTCGGCTCCCTATTTCCCTGCGACGTTGCTCTCCCGGTTTACGGTTCTCTGAGATATTCTGGGTCACCACGGATGTTCAGTTGACGCATCCGCTCTTCCGAGGGGCTTTGCGATCTAGCCGTATTTCGGAAGTTCAGTGGATGCGCTTGAAGAAATCCGTGCATCTGCTTCTGGAAAAAGAGGCGAGCACCCTGCTCCGTCCGGGGAGGGCTCCGGTAGTGATGCGATGACTCACAACGGTGTCGCGATATCAGCAAGAAGACCGGTAAGAAAATCACGGCCCGCGCACGACTCATGGCATCTCGTGCGATGAAGCACGGGGGCCCATGGGTGTCAGCGACCGAGAAAGACCTTCTTTCTTTCTGAGATTCCTTAGAATTCACATCGACGAAGAACACTGCCACAATCGTCCAACAGCTCCGCCCAGCTATTCGACGGAAACAGTAGCCATCTGCCGGCCATCGACCGGCCAGAGGAGGAGTCCAGGGCTGGCGAGCGCGCGCGACCACTCGAGGCGGCGCAGGTTCGCTCAGGTCCTCAACCTGCTCGCTGCGTTGTTGGCACGACATGACCCGGTCCGTCCCTCTGGCGGGCCGATTTTCCGGTCACTAGATTGTGAGTTTAGCGTTCAACATAATGAGCAGACTGAAGGTTTTTTGGCGAAAAAGGATGGACAACACGCGCCCAAAAGCAGTTTCCGAGTTTTCAGCCAACGGGCTGTTCAGGGTCTGGTTTTTCAACGAAGAGCTCTCAAGGTTCCCGTTGCATCGGAGCAGTAACAAAATGACAACGGGGCACCCTGAAACCACAGAACATGGAAAACGAGCGAGTCTCCCAATGTTTTTTCCACTTTTCCTCCCTCGTCTTGAATATGCTCGAGGACTTTTGAGACCGTCGCGGCGTGAGCGTGCTTTAATGCGGTTATCACGCTCGTCTCGGCATCCTGTCAGCCGAAAAAGACGGCGCCGGCGGGCGCGGTCCTCGCGCTCCGGAGATGGCGTGCTCACCAGCAATGGCCTCAGGGCCGGCCGGCCGCCGGCGAACGGAACGACTGGACGACATAGTCACACCTCGTCCCTCCGGTGCCGTCCAGGTGGTGGCGTCCGGCGCTACGGCCTTCGCCGCGCTAAATGGGGTGCCGGGATTCGGTATTGGCTGCAGATGGGTGGCGCGTCGGCTGGCGGCGGCGGTCCGCCGGGACGCGACCGCCGCGGGACAGCACGGGAGTCCGGGTCAACGCGGAAGGCCCGGTCAGCGCGGGAGTCCGGGTCAGCAGCCGACAGTCAGCAGTCGGCACTCAGCAGCCGCAGCTTCAGCGGCCGAGAAGCCGGGCGCCGCAGGGCCGGCAGTGGTGAAGTGGGCGGGTCAGCTGCCGAGCAGACAAGCCACGGCACCAGGCTTGGATTCTGCTGTGTCGTGTCGAGCTCACCCTCGGGCGCCAGGCTGTGGCTGGTGTTGTCGATAATTGAATCGACGCGAGGGAAATATTCTGGAAAAATGTTTACCCTTTTCGGACGGCGGCACCGGCCACTCCGTCGGCTTGCCATTTATTTGTGTTCGGTTCTAGCTCCTTCGGCTCGGTCTTTAGCTGACGGAGCCACTCAGACCTGTGGGATTGAGGACGGACGTGACGAGCGGGCTGATGGATGTCTCATCCCTTCCAGCGCTAAACAGAGTTAGAGCCTCATGGTAGCCTGCTGTAACGCCTCGGACTGTGAGTGATTGTGGGGCGGATGGGCTGGGGCGGCTGGGAGCTATCCTGTGCTGGCGGCCAGCTGCCTCCAGAAGTGCGGTGCCATAGGATTGAATGTGAAAGATTAAACCCGCACGCCCGTTAACTTTCGCCGTGGAAGTAATTCACACCAGCATACCACCGGACTCTTTGGCTCGTTAAGACCGTTGGAAACAAATGTATAAACCAACAAAACTGAAACCGTCGAGACCACGTGACAGTGATTAAAGAAAACCACGCACTTGAGGGCGAATGAAGAGTGGCCAACACACATGCGTGCTTGAGGACAGATCTGGCCATACTTGGGGCGAGGAGTGCTATGGCGACGGAGACAAACAGCCGTCTGCCAGGAGTTGCGGGGCGCAGTCGGCCGGTCTGCGAGACGCCGCGGCCGGAGCGCTGTGCCTGAGCGCCGGCCGCCCTGACCGACAGGCACGCGCCCGGGGACAGCATCTCGGCCTCGTGCCGCGTGCACGGTCACCAGTCGTTCCTGAACGAGGGGCCCGGCATCGACACGTTGGACATCGAGCACCGGCGCAGCAGCCACATCCCGCTGATGGGCTGCCACCCGGACATCCACCGCACCTGCTGGTGCATCAGCTTCATCGCCGAGAACACTAGGATGAAGGAGAACTCCAACAAGGTCGGTGATGCCGGCAGGTTGGTAAACTCTGCACGGAGCAGCCACCGAAGGGACCGCAGAATCACAGCATAGGTCTGCGTGAGCTCATAAACACAGCAGATTTTAGGGCATCCCGTCGGGCCTAACACGTCCGATGCTTTGCCTCAGTCCGCTGAAGCGACAGGGTGCAGAGTGTGTTGACAGGGCCGCCTCAGTCCGCTAAAACGACAGGGTGCAGAGTGTGTTGACAGGGCCGCCTCAGTCCGCTGAAGCGACAGGGTGCAGAGTGTGTTGACAGGGCCGCCTCAGTCCGCTAAAACGACAGGGTGCAGAGTGTGTTGACAGGGCCGCCTCAGTCCGCTGAAGCGACAGGGTCGAGAGCGTGTTGACAGGGCTCCGTCCCGCCGTTGGGTCCCGGATGGGCCGGCCAGTAACGAAAACAGTGAATTATCGTCAGACCCTGCGTATTTGTTCGTAAAATTTCGTGTTTTTCTTAATATCCTGGAATGTTTTTGTACTGCCGCCATACTACGCATGCATAAAACCCACACCCACCGTCCGTGTTGTCTGGCGGTCCTGTTCGCCAGTGCATGGCCTCCACACGTCGCGCAAGGGCTGCACATCGCCCGTTGACAGGGGTATCGCTCCCGTACCGTTCCAGTTCAAGGAGGACTGGAAGTACGTGGCGATGGTACTGGACCGGCTGTTCCTGTGGATCTTCACGCTGGCCGTGGTGGTGGGCACGGCCGGCATCATCCTGCAGGCGCCGTCCCTCTACGACGACAGGATAGCGCTCGACCAGAAGCTGTCCCAGATCGGGCGGCTGCTGCAGTGAGCGCGCCGCCGCCGCCGCCGCCGCCGCCGCCGCCGTCGCTGACGCTGACGCTTGCCTTCCGGATGGCCGCGCGCCGGCGAGTGCAGTAGTTAGTGCCTTGAGGAGCGTGTGTGACCGCCGGCGCCGCGGGCCACGCCGGGAGCGGCGGCGGCCGTCTGCCGTCGTCACCGCGGACCGCCGGCAGTGTCGGCAGTGCGCCGCTCCGGCTGGCAGGGAGGCTGGCGGCTCTGTGGGGGCGGAAGAAGCGCGCGCATGGCGGCGCCGCCCTCGGGACGGACGGCAGGCTCCGGCGGCGCCGGTGGTGGCGAGTGCCAGTGTTGACGTGCCTCCTCAAGACATTGTCTGTCGTGAACGTGTCGGGACGGTGTCCAGTTCCACACGCCTCGACGTCGTGGCGACGGATCTGGCTTCGGCACGGCTGCCTTAGATAGACCGCGGCTGAGTTTCTGGGGCGCTGGGAGCGTTCGTGTCGTGTGAACAGCTGAGCTCCGTTGTACGGTTCAATGGCGCGGTTCGTGTCCAGGCGTTTGCGTGCAGGGCGCGCCGGGGTTTTGCAGTCTAGACACAGCTCCATAACGGAGAGCGAGGGGCGCTTGAGGCGGGGGCGTGACGAGGCTCCGCTAGGGAGAATAGCCGATTGATGTCACCGAGACTGAGCAGCGGCGAGCCAGCCGTGCGCGTGTGCTGAGGAGGCCCGAGCTAGCCGTCTGGCGTTCGTGTGTGACGTGCGTCCGGTGTTGCGAGAGACCTGTCGTGACCATGTTGTATCCGGCCCGAGCGTTGATATCGTATTTTGCGTCAAACCGTTGTTGTGACCGTGAACGAGTTTGCGAACGCGGCGCCAAAATCTCGGACTGTGTTCGGGATCCATCTGACTTGTTACATTCACATGACCTTTTGACCGGAGCGAGAGAACCATTGCCCAGTGTCACCCGTAGGGTTATTCCGGGAGATCAATGTCGCGACGCAATCTCCCGGACTGTTCGTAGAAAAGAAGACATGTAACAATCACGACCTTGCTGAAAAGCTGGGAAGCGCTCATCGCTGAGGCTGCTTCGGCACGCCAGGCTGATCGTGTGTTTGAGCCCCGGAGGCGACGAGGAGGCCCATTTTGACCCGTCGATTCCGCAGATCAGCACTCCGCAGGGACGTGGCCGCCGGTCGGCAGACGGCCCCCGGCGGAAACTTTGCTCCGACCCCGGCGGCCTCGGCGAGCTTCCCGGACGCCCCGCGGCGCACCGGAGCGGCTCGCCGAGCTGTACACACACACACACACACACACACACACACACACACACAAACACGCACGCACGCACGCACGCACGCACACACACACACACACACACACACACACACACACACACACACACACACACACACGAGGCGGCGCGCCTGCCGGCGACTGGTGACGTCAGTGGCACTTGCGAGCGCGTGTCCGTGCGAGGGGTTGCCATGACAAACTAATAAACGGGAGATTGCGTCGGCCATTGCGCAGTGCGGCGCCGCGGCACGCCAGGAGTCCGACGCCCGGTGACGGGCGCTGATTGCCAGCCCAATCACGTGCCATCCCCAGGGCAGGCGGCGCCTCGCGCCGGGCCCGCCGCCCGCCAGCCAGCGCTCGGTCCGGCCAGACCCGCTCAGCTGAGGAATGGCCTGACACCCGGGCCCACAACAAAGGCACGCGCCGGCGACGGGCGCCGCGGGGCTTCCCGGAACGCGTCTGACGAACGGCGCCGCAGGTTTACGGGACGGCTAACCAGGTTTTACCCCTGGCGGCTCGAACAACTTCACTTCCGCCACGTCAGTTCAAACAAGGAACGACGGACCGGAACTGTAAACAGCCAGAAAAAGTGAATTTAGGTTGGCCACAGGCAGCAGGCTTCGGCTAGAGCTGCCCCCTCCCCCCCCCCCCCCTTTAGCCGCCGAAATGTCTCTGTACTTCCCAGCAACGGATGGTGCGATGTGCAGCGAGGGTTGTGTCTACACCATCGTCTCTCGACCACCAGACACCGGTCGGCAGAGGTTGACCCGTGAAGAACACCCCCTAACGCTCCTGGGGCCTCCAAAAAACGGACTCGGACAACGGACAAAAACACGGGTTGGCGATTTACGGCAGAAAGAAGCACTTATCCAGAAAGCGCTGGCCACCAGAGGCAGCAAGACTGCTGCCGAGGCGTCGTTTGGTGCTCAATCTAGCGAACGGCGGTAGCAGTTCAGGTAAATGTTCCCAGACCTCCCGGATCTGGATGAACATTACTTGCGGGGAACTTCCAGCGAGTGGTGTTTGACGTTTCTCGCAATGTCGCAAAAATGAGCACCAATTGCATGTTCGTGTTCGGCGCATACGTCATTCGGCATTGGTTTTTACTCTAAAATGAGTGGCCATGAACGACAGGGAAGACAATTTAAAGGGGCAATGTAAAGTGTGCATATCTAAGCGGGCATGACAGACAAGAAGCCGTGAAGATCTGTAACAAAATACCTAGCACCTATAACATGCAGCCTGTTTGAAGCTGAAATACAAATTCCCCGTCTGGTCGCGCGCTCTTCGCTCTCCCATCCCCCACCCCTTCCAGGATTGCGCGAACAAAACGTTCTAGGCAGCGCGTCATCGCGTCGAGGGGCACAAGCGTGACCAGTGGTCGCCGCAGCTGACCTTCACTGACCTCGGATCTCTAAGATTTCATCGCTCTTGACTTGAACAGCGCTAGAGCTTCGCTTGGTGCTTGCAGTGGTGGTTTATGTTTGCACCATGTTGCACACGTACATCAGCGGCTGCAGGTTGGACAAGGCGACGGAACGCATGCACGGGCGGTCGACTCGGACGGTTGTACTGCCTCGCGCGAGCGAACACAGTTACACAACTAAGACCGTCCGAGAAGAGAGGAATCTTACGGCGCTTTTTTGTGCATCTCGATATCTCAGCCTGCCTCGATCTCGTTATGTCTCGTTCTCTCAGCCTACCTTGATCTCTCGTTATGCTTCGACCCCTCAGCCCTCCTTGATTTCTCGCCGTGCTTCGATCCCTCAGCCTACCTTGATTTCTCAGTCTGCCTGGATCTTTCGTTATGCCTCGATCTCTCAGCCTACCTCGGTACCTCGTATTTCGACCTCTCGGCCTACTTTGATTTCTCATTATGCCTCGACATATCGGCCAACCTCCATTTCACGTTATGCCTTGATCTTCCAGCCCTTCCCGATATCCCATACCACCAAGACCATCGCGCGTGCGGTCCTGGAGCCCGACACGAACAAGCCACACGGTATGCCTTGCCACGCCGTCTTCCGGCGCGGTGAAGTGAAATGGCAACTTGCGAATGAGCAATGAGAAAAGAACTGAGAAGCTAGACACTCTTGGTGTTCCGATCGCGCCCTGGAGAGCAATAAAACGTCTAACGTCGAGCCCCCTGCCGCGACCGGCTTGTGACGTCTGAATCGTGCTGCCATCTATTGCCAGGGACACCAAATACAACCAGGATGTCTGGACGACCAGCGCGACTTCGATCCGTCGAACGGGGCTAAGGCACGCACGACCGATGACGTGATATGGGAAAACACAGAGCACAACGCGAGGAATCACCCGTATATGGTTGATAGTGGAGCGCTGTATGCGCAGCTAAAAATCTGGAATTTTGGAACGACGCCGCCACAAACTGGGAATTGGGTCCAAGCAGAGCACAATAAATGCGAGCAGTGCGATAACATGCTCGCTGTTCAAACCCAACACAAGACCTCTTCGAATCGAAAGGGGAAGCGAAAGCTTAACGACAAGCGGCCCGCACACACCTGCGCCAGCACATTGGCACCCTGGCCATCCAGCGGCGAGAGCGCAAGTCCCGTTCGAGGAAGACCCGTGGGGCGCATTACCGAAGCCCTCCAGTGCAGTGACCAAACATTTATCCACCAACCACAACAAAACTCATCCATGCATCAACCTGGAAAGAATATCCGTGGTTAGCAGACCAGGTCGGAAAAACAAGCCTGTCAGCCCCGTTCACAATGTTGCCAACACACATCTATCAAACTCAATAAACTAGGGACTGGAGACGACGGAAATCCTCGCAACTTGAGGGCGTGGTCGATGACCATTTCGGGTTATCTATTTCCGGTCGATGACCAAAGCCAATACTGAATTCCTAGAAAGTTGGTGGGGGGGGGGGGGGGAGGGGAGGGAAAGTCGGGGCTCAGACCCCCTGGGCCCCTAGTCCTTGCCCCCTGCCAGGTCGCTACCTCACACTTCACACACGTGCTGACTGTGTGCTCCGCCGAGTGGAGGTCGGCTGCGGGCCGCACCGCAGGCCGCTCGGCCTGCTGACCGACGCACGGAGGCGCGCCGCCCAACCTCTCCGCAGCCGTGAAACGCTGACATTGCATATATGTAGGCATCCACGGAAAGCAGTCGATGGGCTCTAACTGCGGCCCACACGTCCGACCACGGGCGTTGCGAGCGAGAGGGAGGGGGGGGGGGGGGGGCAGACGTCCGCGACTGCGAAAGTTAGCGTCGATTCTATCGCGCTGTATGACACGAAAAGGAGTAAAACCGCGTTTGGTGCGGATCTTCTCAGAGACGCCGCTGTCACTGCACCCGATTCCTCTCCTCCCGTGAGTGACCATGTGGCGCCATGGGCACTTCGGAGTAGCAGTAGCACCTAATCAGCAGAAGTGCGGAGGACTGTTCTGTGAGGCAGGCCGGGTGAGTTGCTCCTGGAATCGCGCCTCCACATCGTGCCATGATTAGACGATTCCGTCCGGTACAAGACCTTGCTTCGTGTTGACCAAACAGACAGAAATCCGACACAAAAAGCAACACAAATCAAAATAAACACCGTGGCAGCATGCCTGCAGTAGCAGATGCGACCTCAAAGACTCAGCAACGCGATTATTCCAAGCAAGCTGAGATTCAGCGCTCTCAGCCGGCGCAGCAACAGACTACCGCAGCCCATAATCTTCAACTACCAGCTCCAAAACAGCACTGCAAGATGGCACATGTCCCTGATGTGCGCTTGGAAGTCAGTCACGGTAAGCCCTCACCTGCCTCCCCGCATTCTGTGACTTCAAGCGATCGTTTCCGAGCAAATTGCAAACTCCAGAGCAAATGCCACCTCTAAACAAAAAGACCTGTCCAACGTTTCACACTTGCTTTGTGACAATACAAAACATCATTAATATCAAAACTCTTCGGCCGGCATGTATCAAATACAACGGTAGCACGCTCACGCGGCGGAGGCGCTGGCTTCACAGACGCTGGCGCCGCGCCAAGCAACTGTGACCTATCGGGCTCACACCGGACTACCAGTTGGACGAGTCATGTAACTGTTCCCACGCGGGGGCGTTCGACCGCCCTGCACGCGCGACGGGCCAGACGCTCACCCCCGCGTCACGTGGTAACCCCACGGCTCGGCCAGAGCTGCGCAGGAGCGCGCGCCTCCACCGGTCTACACCACCGGCGTGTGGCCCAGCTTCTCGCAGAGCCAGACGGCCGCGTGCACCATCACGTCGCCGTTGACGCCCGGCTTGGCCAACGGGTGGCAGTCGTCGTACATGCGCACCTCGGTCGGCACGCCGCGCGCACGCAGCGCGTGGTGGTAGTGCAGTGCCTGGTACGGCACGACGCGCCGGTCGGCCGAGCCCAGCAGCAGGAGCGTGGGCGCGCGCACCGTCGCCACGTGGCTCATGGGCGAGTGCTCGAGCATGGCGGCGAGGCGCGCCGGTGTCGGCGTCGGCTCGTACGCAGCGCCCGACTCCACGTAGTTCCAGTCGGAGATATCGGTGCCCTCCATCATGGCGGCCACGTCGCAGACGGGGTTGCGCGCCGCCACCGCCTTCACCAGGCCTGGGTGCTGGCCGCTGAGGTGCGTCACCAGGAAGCCGCCGTGAGAGCCACCGTAGGCGCCGACGCGCTCGGCGTCCAGACCGGGCTCCAGCTGAAGCACGTGCTGCGCCGCGTGCACGCAGTCTCCCACGTCCAGCGCGCCGATGCGGCCGGGCAGCGCGTGCAGCATGCGCTCGCCGGCACCAGCCGAGCCGCGGTAGTTGACCATCAACACGGCCAGGCCCAGCTGGCTGAACAGCGCCACGTGCGCCGACCACGAGTCGGTGATGACCGTGTGCGGCCCGCCGTGCGGGAAGACGATGAGCGGCGCGGGCGGGCCGCCGCCGGCCGGCGTCACCAGCAGACCAGTGTACGGCACGGTCGCCAGGTCGGCCGGCTCCTCGCGGTTGAAGATGAGCGCGCGCACGGTAGCGTCTGACGCCGGCCGGCTCTCGGTGAGCGGCGTGAAGGTCGCGTCACCGGGCCGGCGCACCACCAGCTGCGGCGGCCGCAGCAGCGACGAGCGCACGCCGGCGACCAGACGCTCGCACGCGTGCAGCACCGTTACGTCGGTGCTGTCGTGGTGGCGCAGCTCACCCGTGCACACGTTGACGGTGATGGTGCGCTGGTGCACGCCGCACGGCGTCGACAGGCACACCTGCCGGTCGGAGAGCCAGCAGTCGGTCGGCAGCCGCTGCAGATAGAGGCCGGCGTAGCCGTCCTTCGGCACGTCCACCAGGTCAAGCACCACCGAGCTGGGGCCGCCATCCAGGTGGCGCCGCATAAGGCGCGCGCCGGCGTGGTGCGGCCCGCCGGCGGCCGACTCCAGCCAGAGCACGGTGCTGCCGTCTGGCGAGACGCGTGGTGAGCGGCACGACAGCGCCCCGTCGCCGCTCAGGCGCCTTCCCACGCCGCCCGACAGCGACAGCTCACGCACGTGCGACGCCCGGTTGGTGCAGTAGATGAGGCCCAGCCGGCGCGGCGTGTTCTCCCAGGCGACGGCGACCACGGTGATGGCGCCCTGGTAGCAGCGCCAGCGCGCCTGACCCAGCGACACGTCATCATCCGGCGCAAGCACGCTGAGCGCCGCCGAGCGCACGTCCAGTACGACCACGACGGGCCAGTGCTGGCCAGTGAGCTGCTCGCCCCAGTCCTCGTACCAGCGGCTCTCGGCGCCTCTCTCCGCGCCCGCCTTAGCGTTGTCGTCGAAGAAGGACGTCGCCGGCGGCCGCCGCCTCTCCGCCACGTACAGCAGCTGATTCTCGTCCGGACTCCACTGGAACGAGCTGAAGTCGCCGCTGGCGCAGATCGGGCCGTGCTTGTCCATGGCGGCGAGGTCGAACACGTGCGACAGATGGTTGTCCGACCAAATGTCCAACAGCCACTGGTCCTTCTTTCCGTCGCCACCCTTCTTCCGGAAGACGGCTTTCCGTTTCTGAGACGGTGAATAGCAGACGACATTGTCTTGCCCGATTGGGTGGGGTGGCAACTCATACACTGGCTTCAATGTGGCCGCGTCCAGAACGAACGTTCTTTCAAACTTAACTGATTCTGCAGTCTCCACCAAACTTTGGGACCACATTGTTTGCAGCTTGATGAAGTCCCCATCTTCACTCGAAGAAACAGTTGCTTGTTGCAAATCGGGGATCTTCGTTAAGACACGAGTCCTTTTGACGATGGCTTCCAATAGAGGTGACATATTGCCTGCAAAAAAAAATGCTATTGAGAGACATCTGATTTCGGTGGCCAGCAGCAGTTGCTTCTTTAAACCAGTAATACCACTTACAGCAGTTTAAAGACCTACATAATGAAACCATGGCATTCTCCCAGAAATAGACACCTATGCCTGAGTTACAGAGTACGGCAAGCCATCTCTTTTCCAGAATACCCCATGACCTAAAATACGGTTACAGCCAATTGTTAGGTAGAGCCTATGCAGTCCTCCTTTTCAAATATTATACAAAACCATGCTCAAAGCCCTTCACATGGATTTCAAAAGATGCCCCATATGGCCAGGAACAGTAACTATACATTTCTGCACAGCAGGTCCCATATTGTTGGTAGCTAATGTCCTGCATTAGTATATTTGATCTGCATGACCCACAATGGAGATATGGGTGTGGGTGACCACAATGTTTATGGCAGCTCCACCTGTACAGGCTAGCCACAGACTGCAGTTAGCTGACCCATGCCATATTATTGGGAAACAATATGGGATGCAGTACCTGTTCTTAACTTGGTGCCCTATCCCAGGACATTTTCCAGCTACTCACATAGACACACACAACCACACATATACAACATATACAACAACAATGCACAGGCAACATTTGCTTTGGCACCATTGGATCTGGCCAAAAGCATTTGATATCAGGGTGCCTGTGGTGGTGAGAATGT